ATTTCTCCTGAAGGGATGAAGATTTTCCTTGTATGTTATTGAGAGATGATGATTTCTCTCGAGGGGATGAGGATTTCCCCTGCATACCGATAGCTCGACGGCGGTCGGGACGTTACATCATCGGTCTTGTAGAAAAGCTCTCCTCCAGATTTGGTGTTCGTCGTGCTCAGATTCTGTAGCTTCGATGGCGCCAGGGCGATGTCGCATTCTGGGTAAGCCGAGTGTGATTTCTCCTTCGGAGATCTTGCGTTGTGGCTCTCGCCTCCGCCATAGTTCTCATCAAGATGGTGACTCAATTTGCCCAGATTTAGTCACCGTTCCTCATCATCTCGGCTGTCTAGCCTTGGTTTCTAGATCTTGCCGCTATACTTTTTCGCCAGTTGGTTTTAGGGATTCACCGTCGGTAAAAAGTGTTCAGTGAAGGTTTCTCGGATTGGGTTGTGTAGCGATTGCTTGGTTTCTTTGGTGTCTACCTTCGACGGTGAGTTTTTGGTCATTGTAAGGGTTTCGCGGTCGGTTATTGTCTCTCTATGTTCGCAACTTTTGCTAGGTCGTCTTCTCCGGCAGTTCATCCGATTGTTTTAGTCCTTGTCTTTGGCTCTGTTTTGCTTCTCGATGTGTGTAGTTGGGTTAGATTTGGCCTAGCAGCTAGGTTCTCGATGGTGGCTTTGGCAGAGCTGTTATAGAGTTTATCAAGATTCACTTCTTTTTCCTTGGCTTTGGTTGGGTCCATTGTAGCTTGTTTTCGATGGCGTTTGTAGGTCAGTGGTTAGATAATCTTGGGTATGTGTCTAGTCGGGTTCTGCAGCTTGTTTATATGCCTCAGAGGAGTAGTAAGGCTATTGCGGAATCGAGCGGAGCTCAATGCTTTCTGATCTAGGGAGCGAATAGTTTTGGCTCGATTTGGCTTCAATGGCCTTTGTCAAATTGTGAGGTCTAGGTTTGTTGGTTTTTCCATCGACTCATCAATGAGTTTAAGACTTTTTTTTGCACGGGGATCGGACACCTATCTAGACTTGAGCACTTTGACTCCATATAGCTTGTGTGGTTCCGGCAAGGTATTGGGTCTTGTTTTGTTGGTTTTCATGTCGGCTCATCGATTATAAGGGAGGTCTTCGAGCACAGGATCATACACTTTCCAGATTCGGTATCTTTATTTCGGACCTCCAATGAAACAACTTCTGAGTGTTGTAGTTGACGGTTTAGAATCCCTCAAGTCTTCTCTCATTATCGTTTAACTATTTTCCTCATGCTTTGATTTCAAGTACTTATCGGTGTGATTTGGTACCATTAATTTCACGGTTATTTTGGTCGATCACACGAATGATTATGCTTCCATGTTTTTTTATCTTTTTTTTGTATGGAACTATTTAGATAGGTTTAAGCAAACAGGTAACATGTTGTAAAACCTGAACATTTTCATATATAATGAATATTTACCATTTAGTAAAAAAGAATTATATATATGGGACATGATGAAACAAAATTGTGATGAGAATTTTGTCCATTCTTATATTTATATCGGTGTCTACACTTGTTGTCGCGTTACATATATAAAAGTGAGTTTTGTATATAATGAAGGGAAAATTACTAGAACAATCTTGACAAATGACATAATTACTAAAACAACTGTTTGCTTAACAAAGGTCATAAAAGACATATAAACCTTAGTAACAAGTTTTTATTACGAAAATATCATTCTAATTATTAAAAAAAAAATATCAGAAATTTGTTTGAAACCGCGGCCGTGGAGGCTGCGGAAGCACTAGAGACAAGTTTGGCGGAGGTGTACCACCGGATTTATATAAAATCGGATTGAAAAACAAAAAAAAAACTTGAAATCTTTTGATTTTTGGTTAGAAAAGAGATATATGATGTTAGATCTACTAGTTTTAGGCTAAATCCAATTGAAAACAAGTTAAAATACAGTAAAAACGAACTAAAAAATAGTTGGCCGCTATTGTTAGGGTTTGACAAAAGCTTGGTTCTGGAGAAGATGACCAGTAAATTACGATTTTACCCTTTATTTAATAACTCTACCACTACTATAAATAAGTCTACTA